ATCTGCATGCCTGGTATCATCCATTCACTTTCTGTTTGGTTTGGTCTACAAGCTGTTTTTGTTACATAATACACATTAAATGATGACTAAGGGTGTCATGCATTGTGAAGCTGACCGTTGAGCGGCCCAGACCAAGCAAGGAGGCAGAGGCAGAACGTCCAAAAATATAACCCGACGTGGGCATTTATTCAACTTGAGCACAGGACACAGCCTCAACCCTGCTGTTCCTGTGCACACATCCTACCAGCCACAAGGATCTCACACACTACCAGCCTCCCAACAGACAGGGAAACAGAGCCTAAATACACACACTAATCAGCACAACAAGACACAGGTGAGGGGGGAGGAGACAACACAGGACACCAGGTGCACACAATTACCCGGCCTGAAGCAGTCAGTCCATAGTGACGAAGTTACCTTCGTCACAAGCATAATGCTGAAAACGATAACAAAGAATCAGCCCGATTTTATATGATTTGAGTTTTTTTAAATACAATTTTTAATACCAAATTCGATCGGTTTAATATTATTCCACTGATGAGGACCTCCACTTCATTTTAACTGTAAGATTTGGTATCACCTGAAAAATGTACCAGTTGCCATCCTACTTTCAATTTACTCATTTAATTTTAATTAAAACACGAAAATACCGGATTAATAATCTTATTTAATCTCATTGTCTTTCTATTCTCACACCAGTCGTCCTTCCACAAGGTTACATTATCTCCATACACTCGTGTTTTGACTCCAAACTAATTCAAGTGCACAATAAGCAAAGTTAAAGATAATTATTTTTCAATAGATATCGCAAAAATATTATTATTCAGAACTCCTTTGGCCACACTAATCTGACAATGTGATCTTTGTGATATGTAACGTTCCAAAACATTGGCAAGGGGGTGGGACACCTCTAAACGGTTCACCAATCACAACAGAGCCGGCCAGCTAACCAATCAGAGCAGACTGGGCTCTGGTTTCAGACAGAGGGTGAAAAGAGGTGCTGCAGCACAGGCAGTATGAGAACAATAAAGAGCTTTTTGAACATTGAAGCAAGGAGACATGTCCCGGTAGAGACACTAAATAATAATATGAGTAAATGTCGTTTAATTAGAACTTGATTACCCTTAATAAAACGTTTAACGCTCCTCTAGCTTATTGTTCATGCAGTCGGTCGAAACTCGAAACCATGTTATGTTTCACTGTAGATATAAAATGGGAGAACAGCGCACATGCTTTCATTTTTTTAAATCTTATTCGCTCTAAAAAGCCTCACGGGCCCCTGAGGCACATTCCATTACGGCTGGTTAGCAGGCCATCTCTGCTGTGTGTGGGTGTGTGTGTGTGTCGTGGTGTGAAGGTGTGAGGTGGTGTGAGTGTGTTTGTTGGGGTTGTGCGTGTGTTCTGTTGCGGATTGTGTAGTGCCCATTGTGTGTTTAGTGGGGTGTGTTGTGCAGTTTGTTGGGAAATTGTGGTGTGTGTTGTGTTTGCGGGGTGGTGTGTGTTGGTGTTTGTCGGGTGTGAGGTGTGGGAGTGTGTTGTTGGGGATTGTGTGTGTTATGTGTTGCGGGGTGTGTGTGTGTTGGTTTGGCTGGTGGTGTGTCCGGGGGTGTGTGCTGGTTTGGGATTGTTGTGATGTGTTCTGGGGTGCGTGTCTGTTGTGGCTGGTGTGTGTGCCTTGTGTGCCGGTGTGTGGTCTGTTGCTGTGTGTTGTGTGTGTGGTGGTGTGTATGTGTGGGTTGTGGGTGTGTTGTGTGTTGTTGTTGCCTTTGTCGTTGTGCCTGTGTGTGTGTGTGTGTTTGGTGTTGTGTGTGTTGTTGTGTTGTGGTGGCCTCTGTGTGTGCCTGTGTGTGCGTGGCGTGTGTGTGTGTGTGTTTGTGTGTGTTGGTGTGTGTGGTGGTGTGTGTTGTGTGTGTGGTGTGTGCCTGTTGCCTGTGGTGTGTGTTGTGGTGTGTGTTGGGGTGTGTGTTGTTGGGGGTTTATGGGCTGTGCAGATTGAGGCTCTACTCCTGTATCTTGTCTGTGCTGGTGGAGTTATTGTGTGACATCACTTACGGTGTAAGTGGGTCCCGGTTGGAAGTGAAGCAACTGCAGCATGGGAAGGTTTTTTCTGTGTCATCGTTTCTTCTGCAAACTCGCCTGAAAGGAGAAAGCTCTCCAAAACTCCAGTGTGATGATCCACACAGGGAGGTTTTCTTTTGTGGTATGTTTCCTGTCAAAGAGTACAACTTAGAAAAAGGAACACCGAAGTTGTTGTTGTTCAGTTACAGAAAACCCATGGGATTTAAAAGCATTTCCCATCGAGAAAGTATTTGTATTTCAACGTTGACCTTTGTTATTCAAATCAAAATAGTCACAAATGCATTGTCCTTCTCAGGGTCTTCAACAGATAACACGCTGACTGTTGTGAATTATTCTTATATACAAATCATTTTAAACCTCACCTCGTTCCACCCTAATAACAAGGCAGAACAACTTATAGTAAAAGGAATGTTTTAGAATATTTACAAAGGTCTGTTGACTCCAATTCCCCACATTGACATCATCATTAAAACGACCTGTTTGACGAGAAAACAGCTCCAATAAAAACTGTGAATGGAAAGTGGATTATCCAGAGTCACAAAGACACGGTTTCTTAAAGAGAGGCTGCTTTGAGTTTTCCAAATGTGGTGTTTACAATGCTTCTCCAATCACTTCGGTTGTAATGAGGTGCAGAAATCTGGTATACAAAACAACTTTATGTCCTGCACATAAAACCCCAAAGCACCTGCGTGACAAGAAAACAAAAGGTAAACAGGGAAAAGTGATAAGAAGAAGTTTGTTCGACTGATCCTTTTAAGCCTTTACAGAGAAGTTTAAGTGAAACCTCCTGACAAGTAGACGTTAAACCCGCCTCCATGTGTTGGATTCTAGTCTCATTTGGATTTAGAAGTTTAAGCTCTCCCTCTGCACGCTTACGGCAATGCATAAGCATCCAGTAATGAGTCATGTGTTTACAAAGGATGACAGTAACATCTCGTTCAAACTGTTATTCAGCTTCACGTGAAGGACCATTAATCATTCCCTGTGTCTGCCAGGGCAATAAACGCAGCACGGACATCCAGTTAAACAGACATAGAGCCATGGATTTACCATCAGGTGGATTTATTAGTTACCATTTTTTATTTCCTCTCTCCCTCCTCCTCCTGCCTCTCCTCTCATTTACACATTTGACATTGAGGCTCTTTTCCCCAGGCCATCTCAGGAGTGCACCGCTAGACTCTCAATGTTTCTATAGCAATCAATAACGAGTGCATGGGTCAAAGCAACACCATCTAGAGATAAGTGTTGCAAATATTTCCCTGGAGTCACTTGTAATAATCCTCCCCACTTGTTGAAATAATCTATATGATATGATCATGTGCTTGTAAGCCCTGCTCATGAGTTTCATCATTTAGTTTATCTAAAGAGACCTTTGTACCATGAATGTGCACATGTCTGTCTGCAGTGTGTTATTGAGCATAAGGTCTTATAACATGTGATTGTAAAAGGTCCGAAGGTATAGTGCTGTGTAAAACTAAGGCGGTGTTTACACGGGAACGAAACGGGTTGTATCGGCTACCTTTCTCTCGCGTATAGCCGTTCGTTCACACGAGGCCGTAATGGAACCGCGGAAACGAACCGCGGAAAACGATAACGGGTCCCAAGGAGGATAGATCTGCGGACGGAACGCTCTGGGGGGCCAAACGGCTCAGTGTGTACGCCCTATACGATCATTTCCTGATAACGATGAAGCCATAGCCCCGCCTCTCCCCGCCTCTGCTGCTCACTGCTGTAGCATGGTCAGTAGCTACTGTCAGTAGCTACTGACCATGCTACAGATGTTAGTGCAACATCTACAGCTCCTCTACCACAACCATCAGCAACAAGTGGACATGGAGAACTACATGTTGCTAAGTTCACTGCGGGGCATAAACAGAAAGGCAACCATGGCAACCATGCTCGGGGTCTTCTTCGCTGCTTTTGGTGTATTTTGTGGCAGAAGTACAGCGCCACTTACAGGCCCGACATATGTGCTACAGCGTTTCCAGTGGTCTCGTGTGAACGGACACGTTAAATGAGCCGAATGCGTGTGAATGGAAGACTTTTTTGAAAAGGAATTCGGTCCGTTTGCGCTCCTGTGTAAATGGGGTCTAAAAAGAAGTGTATACAACCTGAGATTCTGTTATTCTTTAGACAGACAGACTCTTGGCGGACTTGACGCAAGTATTCTGGCTCTCATACTGTTGGACAACAATATAAGAATTCCTTCAATCAGCAGTGTGTCTGTGGTTCTATGTTGTTATATCTTTGGTTATGTCTCGAGTGTCTAAGGCAGGGGTGTCCAAACTACGGCCCGGGGGCCAAATGCGGCCCACGGACCATTTTGAATCGGCCCTCAGCTAATTAAAAAAAGTATAATGTAATACGGCCCACAGATGAAACTTGTGCTTGTCTTATATTGTACTTCTTAAATATGTATGTACACATATATTACACAGTAGTATTCATGTGTTAATAAGACCACTTTTCAAATAAATTCAGTCAATTCAAGTTGGAAACACCTTCTAGCAAATCTAGTTGATAAGTAAAAACCCAATAACTTATTACTTAACAAGCTTGAAATACACCCTTCATATTTCCCTTATTATAATCAATCTGAGGCTTCTGTTTTTAAGGGAAGAGCTGCCAACAAAATAAATGAAACCTATAGAGAGCTGTGATGTAGGCTGTTTGGTTCTTAAGGCATTTTCAAGTATCAAGCATAATTTACCTACATTTGATTAATTTTGCCGACTTATAACTGAACTTATGAGGCAGTATACCTCGAGGGAGTGGCCCAGCCGATCGTATATTGGCCCTCGGTGAAAAAAGTTTGACACTCCTGATCTAGAAGACAAGTGTTGCAATATTCCTGTTTCCCTAGAGTCATATGTAATAATCCTCCCTCCCCCCTCCTCTCTTCTTCTCCTTCCTCCCCTCAGAGCCTCACTTCATCTCGGCCTACGACATCGGCCTCTTCACCTTCTTCTTCCTGCGGGAGAACGCCGTGGAGCACGACTGTGGCAAGACGGTGTATTCTCGAGTGGCGCGAGTCTGTAAGAACGACATTGGCGGGCGGTTCCTCCTGGAGGACACGTGGACCACCTTCATGAAGGCCCGGCTCAACTGCTCGCGCTCGGGGGAAATCCCTTTCTACTACAACGAGCTGCAGAGCACCTTCTACCTGCCGGAGCAAGACCTCATCTACGGCATCTTCACCACCAACGTGTGAGTACATTTATCTATTTTATTGTATTTACTTGCACTATTTTATCTGTTTTTATTGTGTTGCACTGGAGGAGCCTGTGACCTAAGATTTTCATTTTCATAACTACACTGTAGCTATGCACACATGACAATACAAGCCTTGAATCTGAATCATTTACACATATGCACAGGAGGGATTGTATCTACAGTATGAGGTTTCTGATGTGTATACAACAGTATAATGCAGTATAATGCAAGTCTCATGTATCTAGTCGTACTCAACGCTCAAACACATTGTATGTGATAGGCTAAGGGGCGGGACATCTCTAAGTGGTTGTCCAATCACAAAAATGTAAAACAAAAAGGTAAATGCATGCAAATTAGCACATTTTAATTAGGCCTAGTTAACGCCTAATTTGCATATCAATTATTAGATACACATGTTACTGTATTCACCTGTAGTGTCTCCCCTTAAGTACAGTACATTAGCCTGTATGCCCATGATACATTGCCTTAGCTAAACCTTGAGCTAACTTATCCATGAGCTAGTACCTTAGTTAAATATATTGTTTTTGTCTTTTGGCTAATTAGCTGTAAACCCGAGGCACTGGCAGCTGCTCAGGAGGGACTTGTATCTACAGTATGGGTATCTGAATGTGCTGTCGGTTACTCACACATTGTTTTTGTTGCTTGCCTCAATGGCGAGCGGGGACATGAAAACTTTTGATTAATTTGCACAGTTTAACAAAAGCAAAAGTATATCAAGAACATCCGTTTACAAACTCTCACACAACAGTATAATGCAAGTCTCATTTATCTAGTCGTATACAGCGCTCCAACACGATGTACGTGATAGGCTAAGGGGCGGGACCATCTCTAAGCGGTTGACCAATCACAACAGAGCTGGCCAGCTAACCAATCAGAGCAGACTGGGCTCTGGTTTCAGACAGAGGGTGAAACCAGAGCCGCAGTATGAGAAAAATAAAGAGCTTTTTGAACATAAATAAATGTAAAAAAAGGTTTTCAGTAGCAAACAGTGACTAATTGATATGCAGATGGTTAATTTACAGGTGAAATATTCCTTTTAACGTCCGCACAGAGATGGTAGAACTTATTGTAGTGTTTCCTTATCCATGCATTATACTTCAAAATTCCGCTCATGAATAGAAAGGACAGAACAAGCTGCAGCTGTGCTAAAGAGCGCTTTCAACACCATTAAGTGACTCTGAAACACCAAAACACTCCAACTTCTTTTCGTTTAGCCCTCACTTCATAAAGTTTGCTACTCCAACATCTCCCCACCTGTACAGCGAGGCGGTGTGCAGAGCCTCCTGCTGCTGCTAATGATCAGTGTGCAGCTCTGGATCTACACACTCCTCACACACCCTCACTCTGCTGTGTGATTGCTCCAGGTGGGAGTGTTGCACACGTTATTACAGAGTAAACACTGAGAGCCAACGTGTGGAGATCAGAACTCTTTCTGTACTTTTTAACTTCAGTTAAAAGGTCATTGCAGCATTTTATCTAAGACTGGAAAACGCAGTGTGTTGAGTCTGTCCAACACTATAATCCAAAGTAAGCTGTTGGTGTTCTCTTTGAATCTATTTAAGACCTCCCCTATTGATATTTAAACATACAAAATAATTTGCCGCAATGCCTTTATTAGCTCACGGCGTACTGGAGTAGATCCTGGAATTGACAACGGGAATAGAGCTTTGTGTATCATGAGGTTTGTCTAAAAAATAGCTTTTTGAACATTAAAGAATGGAAACATGTCACAGCAGAGACACTTTAATAAACACCTGAACATGAGCAGAATACGTCCTCGTCAAGACGTTTTCTCCAGAGGCAACACAAGCACATGTTCACGATTTCAAATTTAGGAAACTAATTTAAAAAAGTCACTAGATCCAAGAGTGCGATTCATGTAAGAGTAATAAGAGCCGGGGCTGAACAATGCTGGCTTCTGCTGTGTGTGTGTGTGTGTGTGTGTGTGTGTGTGTGTGTGTGTGTGTGTGTGGTGTGTGTGTGTGTGTGTGGTTGTGTGTGTGTGTGTGTGTGTGTGTGTGTGTGTGTGTGTGTGTGTGTGTGTGTGTGTGTGGTTGTGTGATGTGTGTGTGTGTGTGTGTGTGTGTGTGTGTCGTGTGTGTAATCACCCACAGGGACGGTGCTAATACTAGAAGTAGGCTGTGCCTTTGACCTGTACATGGACCAGGCTTTCCAGGACAAGTATATCAAATACCCAACCACTGCTCGATGTGATAACCAGCTTTGGGTACAAGTGTAGATACAGCATACTCATATTCGGAAGTCTTGGCCATGTATATAAATGCACCATGATTGGTCTGAGAATTGCTGGAATGTAAAAGAGAAAAGCCAAACAAATGGCCAAATATTGCTCAGTCTCAGCTATTATTGGCAGCTTGGCCGTGTGGAGAATGAGATGTGTTCCCCTAAGTGTTCTGTGCTGCTTAGCCCCGATATATTTGATTCCCTGTCTTATGCGATATCATTTGTGGAACCAATTAAAGTATTCGTGTGTGTGTGTGTGTGTATTGTTGGTGTTTAGATGTATTGTTGTGTCAGGGGAACTTCCTGCCTCTCACCTTCTGCTCCCTCACCTGTTATCAGCTGTTCTCCGACACATGGCTGCTCTCCCTCAGCCTGCAGCCATCTTTAGCAGCACTTAGAGAGAAAGAGGGGAGAGCGAGGAATGCTGAAGTGAGAACAGAACAGAAAAACCACAGTGAGAGAGGGAGAGAAAGATGAGAGGAGGTAATGAGAAAAATCTGTGAGCTCCCAGCTTTTGTCCGAGGTCCTTTGTCTCCTCCTTCCTCTCCTCCTTGGTGCTGGATATGTTAATGTAATCACCACAAACACTGTCTCCATCTGTCTGGCCTAAATTGAACAGCCTCACAGCTGCTCCCAGGAGTTTGGGGCTGTTAAACAGAGCAGGAGGTGCACAGTATTTATCCTCGCAATGTGGGACAGGTCTAAATGCTGCAGTCACCTACGCTGCATGTGTCCTGTGATGCTCTTTAAACCACCACAATGGACTCCTAAATATTGTGTTCATTCATCTATTTGGCTGGGAGGGTTACTTTAAAAATCTATTCTGTTTCAATAACTAGTTACGTGTTAAACAGTAGCCTAATCTGAGTATTGCAAGATAATAGTAACTGATTGCTTTGTTAGTTTGGGATACTTTAAAGTGGACCTATCATGCTATATTGGAAACATATATTGTAGGGCCATACCTACACAAAACATGTCTGTGAAGTTTTTTTCAAAATACCAAACAGTTCACCCGTTGTAGTCATGCCTCATAGTTACTGCTCACACCCCTCTTTTGAAGCCCTGTTAGAGAAACGTGGATCTTGGGTCCTTAGCTTACAAAAAAATAAAAGAGGAGGCGGAGCTAATGCCTGATCAGAATTCTACTGGAGATAAAGTTAAATTCTGCTGTGATAAAACGCCATCCTGTTATAAACCACATCAAGGATTATTTCTGAAACAGTATGGAGCTCAAATGCTTTTCCTCTTGCGGGTTTATCACAAGGGGGAGTTCCTTTCTTTATTTCCTGCTTTTTAAACACGTGCTCTCCAGTACAGGTTAGCTCTGAGTGTTAGCGATGCTAGCTAATGTAAACAAACACGTCCCAAACACGTCAGGCATTGTTTCTGATAGCAACTTTCTGTGGGTCACCACATGGACACGTCAGTTCGGATGGAATCTGTATCCGCTCGTTGTACACCCGTTTTAAAAAAGATTTGGGTACGGAGGAAAAGAGAGAGGGTTTTATTTTCTGACCTGCGTGAATTCCCCGACGCACCGTGGACACATATTTATGTATAAAAGACATCACAAAGTGCATTTTGCATGATAGGTCCCCTTTAATGAATTTATCATGAAGAAAAGCAGAAAACTGCCGTTTTCAGCCTCTCAAATATGGAGATTTACTTTGTCTCTCTGTTTTCAATTCATATTAAAGTTTCTGGGTTTGGACTAAACCAATTTGAAAGACTTTGTGAAATTATGAAGAACTCTTCTCTCTATCTTTTTAAATGCAACTCCAAGAACAATCAAAGAACTTCTCAAGCTATTAAGTATTGCACAAGAATAACGTTTTTAGTTGTTTTTTTAATTAAGCTGCAACGATTGTGACCGACCCTTTTGTTAACTGACTAATCATTAAATGAGTTTTTCATGAAAAAAAAGGCAGAAAATGCTGTTTTCAGCCTCTCTGTTTCATATCATATTAAAGTCACTATCATTGGGTTTTAGACGG